GGAAGGAGTATTGGATATGTTCACCAGCTGTTGTTTATAAAAATAATAAAGACACACACACACACACACACACACACACACACACACACACACACAAACACACACACTTCTTGCCCTGCACATCAAGCACCGTTTGACAAGTAGGTCACTACAGGAGACAGCGATGCTAGAAGAAACAATAGTCCAGTGTCTTTTTGAGGCCTCTCAGGCCCCTTGCAACCATCCCTTTAGACAAGTCCTGGTCTACTTTTTTCTCCAGTGATATACAGTTAGATGCTGCTATGTTGTTTCTCCTATTACAATAACACAAACTAAAATAGCTATAGAAGAAAATCAGCAACTAGAAAAGAGGAGGCGGCTTGTAACTGGGCATATTCCATCCTTTTGGGAATCAGCTTGGTTGCTGCCAAAACCATGTAAATTTTGCTAACAGCAATGCTTGCTTTGGAGAAAAAAAGCAGACATTAAAACACCAGATTAGAAAAATAAAAGTTACAAGGCCTCAGGGTATGGCTTGGGAATAAGAGCAAGACTGCAGCATTTAAACATGTTTTTAAAAGAATGGTTAATGAGTTATTTTCAGACCTAATTAAAGAAGAATTATATTTGTTCTTTTTGGTCTGGGTTCATTCATTCATAAAGCTTGTGAATGAGACTTCTGTTGTTGCAATCCACACATAATTGGGGCTGAACAATGTAGTCATACAAGCTGCCTATGAGATTAAGTTTGCTAACTTCAAGATAAATGTGATCTTAATTATTAATTAATTATTTTAAAAGCCCTCATAACAATTCAAATGTGACATATTTATTATAACAAATAATTTGGGAACACACTGCAATTCATCAAGTTAAACAGGTCTGTGTTTTATATATAATCTAACACAATATTATAGTCACCATTTTTTTCTTGACTACTTGTTCTGTATTTTATTTTTATATTATTTGTTGGACATTATTGGGGATGTCATGCACATCTAATTGGATTCTTTTTTTCAATTGATCTGAGATTTTGAAAAGAGATTTTAAAAAGTTATTTTATCTGCTTATTTCCCAGCCTTTGCAGTCTCTCTCTCTAGCAGATTCTAAACTGAAAACAGAGATTACTATCATTATCAATGCACTGGGCAGCAATACATCCCTTACAAAAATTGATATTAGTGGAAATGCTATGGGTGACATGAGTGCAAAGATGCTTGCAAAGGCTCTTCAGATAAACACCAAACTCAGGTATTGAATATCTATATTACCATAATTGCCATCATAATTATCACTCAATATATATGTCCTGTTTTTCTGCTTATGTAAGGATTCACAGCAATAAAATAACACATAAAACACCAATGAAATCAATATAATTGCTTTTTAAAAATGCAGTACTTTAACTTTTAGTTAATTTATATTCCAAGAATCCAGACACTTGTCAAAACCCTGTGTTTGTTTTCTAATTGCTAGTTGAAACAGTGCACATGATACTCCAGTTTGGAAAAAAAATAAATTGTGATTTAGTCCTTAGCAACTCCTTTTGGTTTTCATTTCCCCTTCCATTCAAAAGATCTACCCTGGATTGGTTTTGCAATCATGGCCTCATAATTTTATTTGGATTGTAGGAGGAGAAATATTGCTTACTTAAGGTAAATTTGAATAAACCAACACAGAAAAGTTTTAAACACTGGCCGTTTACTCCTCTGTTTTCCTATGTATAAGAAAACAATGAGTTTGGGGATTATTTGTGCCTATCCCCTATAACAACTAATTTAATTTAGGACACTTTGAGCAGGTTTGTGTTTGGAGAATGAATGAGTAAAGGATTCCTTTCTCCTGTTTGTGTGATCTCAGTACAGTATTTATCATGAGAAAAGACACTTGGCGTCCTCTCTTCAAATGAAGCCCATCAAGTATCTTCTAAGTTCAGGAGCTTTTTGAGTTCTATAGAACAGTGGTCTCCAACCTTGGCAACTTTAAGACTTGTGGACTTCAACTCCCAGAGTTCCTCAGCCAGCAAAGCTGGCTGAGGAACTCTGGGAGTTGAAGTCCACAGGTCTTAAAGTTGCCAAGGTTGGAGACCACTGTTCTATAGAACTCAAAAAGCTCCTGAACTTAGAAGATACTTGATGGGCTTCATTTGAAGAGAGGATGCCAAGTGTC